ATGTATGTATGTATGTATGTATGTATGTATGTATGTATGTATGTATGTATGTATGTATGTATGTATGTATGTATGTATGTATGTATGTATGTATGTATGTATGTATGTATGTATGTATGTATGTATGTATGTATGTATGTATGTATATATATATATATATATATATATATATATACAGACATATATGCATTCGTGTGACAGCTGGAGTTATTCAGCGGCGTGGCCAGGGTAAATAAAGTGGGGGGGCAAACTAATGATGGGGTCGGGGGGTGAAGCCCCCAGGAAAATTTTTGGGGCCACGCCCTTTACTTTGGCTTAGAATGCATCTCCTAATATCATGCTTGTCATTAGCTTGTCATTGTATATATACAAACTTTGCTGCCGGAAAAATTATTACCCAACCTATACCCCGCCATTTTCTCTTCGATTTTAAAGGAATCTCGAGGACCATCTTTTGGCAAAAGTGGGGGGGCAACTGCCCCCCCATACCCCCCCGTGGCCACGCCAGTGGAGTTATTATCTGTATCATCATAATCCCTCCTAAAGGCAATGAGTAAAACATACTTCAATGTTCATAACGACTGTTTTAAATTTCCAAAAACAATTATAGATTGAATAACTACCAAATAAATACTCATTTGAGAAGAAGCAGTCTTAAAGCAGCCGTGAACGAGAGAACACACCAACGTCATCTCTATTAGATGTGATAAGATAAGCGTTATGAATATATCATTTGTTTCTGTATTATGTGGGATAAAATACTAACGAGTTTAGGAGCTAACAAGGTATAGGATATCGCCCCCCACGTAGCAATGAACAGGGCTAAACGAAATGTAACCTGATCGGGAGGCAAGACAAGCGTTAACTAGGACAAGCGAGAAAGGCTCAATGGACCCAAGTCTGAACACGTGCGGCTCAGCCTGGCTTCGGAACGTAATCAGCAACATGCTCGTTCCACCATACAGAAAATCCCTATACTCCATGGCATAAGAGACCGAAGAACGCTGTTCCACTATGTTATAGTAATCAAAGATAATTATGAGTGTAAAGATACTTTTCTTCTTCCATGTATCTATGATATACCTCGTTACCAAAACTAAGATGAAATTCTATTTTGTTAAGTTACCCATGTAAGAGTTCATTTTCTTTTATGTACCCCATCTAACGGCAGTTTTAAATACCTAATGTAAACAACCCTCTGAATTGATACGTAGATTTTCCTCAATACATACACTTCTGCGAAGCAACTGTGTTTAATTGATCCCTAGTCACAAGCCAAACTTGCTTAATACATGTTTTTAGATTAATCTATAATTCAGCAATCTTTCGGCAAAAATAATGTCATAATTGTTTTTTTTACAGATGAATGCCCTTTTCATCCTGTGGTAACTTTTATCACCTACAGTTTATCGTATACCATTTGTCATTTCCTCAGTATTCCCAAGCACGTGGAATTACATCCCGGCCTTTTAATATCTGGTGCTTTCGGTGTCAAACTATCTTAAGATCTCTGAAAACTTCTGTAGATCGTAACATTGCACAATTTGCCGTTTTTTTTTGTTGTTGTTGTTGTTGTCGTTGTTGTTGTTGTGCTATATGAACCTCCTGTACTATAAAAAAAAAGCTTAAATAAAATTATTATTAAAATATAAAGCAGTAACATTTCATTTTTTCACGTTGATGCGTGTTCGACTCTATAATTACAATTTAATTTTCTTTGGATTGATCATAACACATGTACCTACCTGTTCCCCTGTGTAATATATTCAGTATCAACTACAATACCTATGCCATGATCAATATAACCTATCTAAAATGTTATGGAGTAGGAATATGAAACAATGAGTAATATTCTGTCTCAATTGCAAGACTATATAAACTGACGTGTACAGCTGTGTCATGGGACTATGTGTAGGCTAAAGTTGTCTGGCACTCGTAGGCAGCTAAATAACACTTCTTAACATTCAAAGTTATTGCGAAGCTGAACTTAGCATAGTTTATGTTATTTTTTAGGTGTTACAATAAGATTACTTCTCAGTAAATTTCGTCATAATTGCTTCAAAACACATTTTGTATGATACTTGAAATAACTTGGACACGGATATTTTGACGAACTACACTGCATTCAACCGCAAGAGAAAAAAAAAACTCGTGTGTGCATTTCTATTATTTACGAACCTGGCATAAACTGCGATATTTACGTGTATACACTTACTGTTCATGCAAATTAATTCCTACATTATGTACATCCCAAACACACGAATAAATACGAATATCAAACCTGTCAAGGAGTAGTGCGAGCGACCGTAACAACAACACTGTATTGGAAGGTCCCAGGGTCGAGTTTAGAGCGCCCGTATGTCGGTTTACATCGCGTATTTTAATATCCATTATTTACGTAATAACTACAATTAAGTGCTATTGTCAGATCTTGTTAATAACCACGAAATATAACTGCAACCTTTGTTGTTGTCGTTGTTGTTGTTGTCGTTGTTGTTGTTGTCGTTGTTGTTGTTGTCGTTGTTGTTGTTGTCGTTGTTGTTGTTGTCGTTGTTGTTGTTGTCGTTGTTGTTGTTGTCGTTGTTGTTGTTGTCGTTGTTGTTGTTGTCGTTGTTGTTGTTGTCGTTGTTGTTGTTGTCGTTGTTGTTGTTGTCGTTGTTGTTGTTGTCGTTGTTGTTGTTGTCGTTGTTGTTGTTGTCGTTGTTGTTGTTGTCGTTGTTGTTGTTGTCGTTGTTGTTGTTGTCGTTGTTGTTGTTGTCGTTGTTGTTGTTGTCGTTGTTGTTGTTGTCGTTGTTGTTGTTGTCGTTGTTGTTGTTGTCGTTGTTGTTGTTGTCGTTGTTGTTGTTGTCGTTGTTGTTGTTGTCGTTGTTGTTGTTGTCGTTGTTGTTGTTGTCGTTGTTGTTGTTGTCGTTGTTGTTGTTGTCGTTGTTGTTGTTGTCGTTGTTGTTGTTGTCGTTGTTGTTGTTGTCGTTGTTGTTGTTGTCGTTGTTGTTGTTGTCGTTGTTGTTGTTGTCGTTGTTGTTGTTGTCGTTGTTGTTGTTGTCGTTGTTGTTGTTGTCGTTGTTGTTGTTGTCGTTGTTGTTGTTGTCGTTGTTGTTGTTGTCGTTGTTGTTGTTGTCGTTGTTGTTGTTGTCGTTGTTGTTGTTGTCGTTGTTGTTGTTGTCGTTGTTGTTGTTGTCGTTGTTGTTGTTGTCGTTGTTGTTGTTGTCGTTGTTGTTGTTGTCGTTGTTGTTGTTGTCGTTGTTGTTGTTGTCGTTGTTGTTGTTGTCGTTGTTGTTGTTGTCGTTGTTGTTGTTGTCGTTGTTGTTGTTGTCGTTGTTGTTGTTGTGCTATATGAACCTCCTGTACTATCAAAAAGAACTTAAATTGATTGATTATTAAAATATAAAGCAGTAACATTTAATCTTTTTCACGTTGATGCGTGTTCGACTCTATAATTACAATTTAATTGTCTTTTGGATTGATCATAACACATGTACCTACCTGTTTCCCTGTGTAATATTTTCAGTATCAACTACAACACCTATGTCATGATCAATATAACCTATCTAAAATGTTATAGAGTAGGAATATGAAACAATGAGTATAATATTCTGTCTCAATTGCACGACTATATAAACTGACGTGTACATCTGTGTCATGGGACTATGTGTAGGCTAAAGTTGTCTGGCCCTTGTAGGCAGCTAAATAATACTTCTTAACATTCAAAGTTATTGAGAAGCTGAACTTAGTATAGTTTATGTTATTTTTTTACGTGTTACAATACGATTACTTTTCAGTAAATTTCGTCATAATTGCTTCAAAACACATTTTGTATGATACTTGAAATAACTTGGACACGGATATTTTGACGAACTACACTGCATTCAACCGCATGAGAAAAAAAAAACTCGTGTGTGCATTTCTCTTATTTACCAACCTGGCATAAACTGCGATATTTACGTGTATACACTTACTGTTCATGCAAATTAATTCCTACATTATGTACATCCAAACACACGAATAAATACGAATATCAAACCTGTCAAGGAGTAGTGCGAGCGACCGTAACAACAACACTGTATTGGAAGGTCCCAGGGTCGAGTTTAGTGCGCCCGTATGTCGGTTTACATCGCGTATTTTAATATCCATTATTTACGTAATAACTACAATTAAGTGCTATTGTCAGATCTTGTTAATAACCACGAAATATAACTACACTCCACTAGCTGAATTCATAGAGTAATATTAAGTAGCAGTTGAGATTAATATAATTTTGTAAAATTCGGCATGTAATATCTATTCACAGCTCCCAAACATGAACCCGTGGTTACGTTCGCGTGCTGGCTAAAACTTCAGCTTCCTTTCCGGGCGTGCGTGCGTGTGTGTGTGTGTGCATGCATAATATGTATGTATATATATATATGTATGTATATATATATATGTATGTATATATATATATATATGTATATATATATATGTATATATATATATGTATGTATATATATATATGTATGTATATATATATATATACATACATATATATATATATATACATATATATATATATATATATATATATATATATATATATATATGTATATATATATATGTATCGTATATGTGTGTGTGTTTTATGTGTATACATTTGCGTGATTTGTGTATATACCTTATAAAAAAACATTAATAGTGTCTTCATTCATCTGTAAATTAGTTCTCAGGATAATATCGTGTCTAACACTGTGTAAGCTTCGAAAACGATGTATTTTTTTCCATTTATATACTCTTATGAAGTTCATTAGTCCTCAGATTTTAAATACGATTGTTTAAGCAGGGATAATCATAAGATGCTGTTTACGACTGATTAACAATTGTGAGACCTTATCCACGTGAGTACCATTTGCAGAAAAAGTTAATAAGTTCAGCCATAA